GATGATGGGCTCAGTCTGGCTCCACAGGTCTGGTGTAGAAGAGGCTCTCTGGAGACTGTTTGTAACAGTGCTCAAAACAATTAACGGACAGGAAGCAGCACCATTTTTTGGGGCCCCTTACACAGCTCAAGGTCTGGGCCCCCAGGGCCTGACCATGAGTATGCCTACAATGCCCACCCATAAATCCACCTACATGGCCCACCCATGATTTCTCTCACAGGAAGTGGAGTGTATGTGTGTAGGGGATGTTTTATGTGTTATTGTAGAGGATGCAATGTGTGTGTGTTCTTATAGAATGTAGTGTATAGGGATACCAGGAGACCTGGCCGATGTACTTGGTTGGAGAATCGGAGCTCCTTCACACAGACAGGTGGGGGTAAGGGCCAAGAATTCATTAAGGGGATTGACAGCTGAATGCAAACCAAATTTTAATTTTATTTCATTGCAAACCGTAAAGTGTCTGAAATATAATATACTTTCAGAAGCTAATTATACTCCACAGAAAGCTATTTCTTGCCGAAGTATTTATATTTTTAATTGATTCAGTTTCCAGATGTTTCCAGAATGGACTTTGTTTTGCATTTGTCAGAATGTTTTGGTTTTGTTTGTAGTAAATAATCTCATTGGGTTCGTCTGTGTATGTTTGGGCTAATTGGCACTTTCCATATGGTAATTCCCTTTTAAACACGATTTAATAAAATCCCATCTGCGAATGATCTTGTTCACTAATTGCTTTGGGACGGCGCAGATTGAGTGATGGAAGGAGCTTTGGAGAAGTTACAGTAATATTATTTGTTCACGAGGTTACTGATCTATAGTGGATTTACGACAGAGCTCGTGCTAAATACATAAAGCTCTATCGATCATCCTCTGTCCTTACCATACGAGTTCAATTTATTCTTTATTTATAGCCAGTCATCCTGCGTACAAAATACTAATTATTCCTCTCTCTGTGATGGCAAGGGTACGAGCGTGGATAGCCCAAACAGCACTAAGGAGAAAGCGTTCATGGCAAAAGGGTTAACGAATGAATCACCAATTCAATATAATCAAAGAGTTCTAACTGAATGTGACAGTATGGATTATCACATTGTAGATCACACAATATCATTGTAAAAAAAAAAAAAAAAAATGGCCTCTGCAAATTTATTTATAAAATATTTTACCAGGAAAAATACATTGAGATTTCTCTCGTTTTCAAGTATGTCCTGGGTCCACAAATCATTGCATTGTTACATTAGGGTACAA